AATCCCTGATCCTTGGCCTCCTGTCTCTGAGGAGGGGTACTCATTCCTCCCATTTGCACACGCTATCCAGGTAGCCACGTTTTTGAGACCCTTTTTTGGTTCCAACAAGCTTTTAGTTTGATTCCAGCATTCAATGTGTATTATACTGTCTCTGGAATGAAAATGAATAAAACTACTGAAAGGACACTTATTTAAATTTTTTTTTTCACTTTTGCAGGGAGGTTAAAATCTAGTATATTCAAATAAAAGTTAAAAAATAAATCCTTCTAATATATTTTTAAAAATCCTTTTGTTCATTTTTGATAATCCTTTCCTGAATGAATGAAGGCTTGGGACTAGAGCTGCATATATTTAAATCTGTTATGGAGACATTTTGCAACTTTTGAAATACCTGGGTACATTTTAATCTAGCCACAGAACTGTTATGTGGTGAGAAATGGTGCTGGTGGCTGTCTGTGGTCATAATATCTTTGCATAAACATGCAAATGTCCTTGCCTATTTTATAGTGTAACCTGTTTCATGATCCATTTAGCCCTGGGCTATAAATAAGAAGTGGCTGCCAGGGATAAAGGAAGATTTAATGGAAGTAAATTTACCATTTGAAGCAAATTTAACCATTTTTAAATTTTGGAAGTCTTGAAAATCTGATGAAGGCAACTGATCTTTTCCTTTGGAGTCACAGATATAAAATGTTACAGAAAAATCAGGGGTTTAAAGACACCCTCACCCCAAGCCCACATGTGGATGGTCTGATTTTAAAGTCATAATTTGGGAGCTCAGATATACAGTAAGGCAATCTATTCATTCAGTTGTTTGTTCATGAGTTAGGCTCTAAGGCATTTTGGGGGAATCTGATATTCAACTCTCTCATGACAGCAATAATCTTGTTCGGACAAATTCAGGCACCTATTTTCATCTTGAAATTAAAGGTATCTTCTATGTCTCTAACATAGGCTTTTTATAGGTAGGAATTTTGTCATGTCCGAAAAGGAGTAACAAGAGTGCTCTGCTTTATTGTCTGTATTCCCTTGTTTTTATACAGCTTTTGGTACCTGTTTCCATTTTTATCTTTATAATTACAACCACACCATTTTCAGTTGTCTTTCTAGTTAAATATTTATAATTACTTCTTTGTGCTTCCCTCTGACCATCAACTTTAATGCTGCACAATATGTCCCTAATCTAGTGTACCTCTATCAGGGTGAACAGATAGGTTATTTTTAGCTTTACACTTGAAGAATTTTGTAAATGGCTACTTCTGGTAATTTTATGATACTTATTTTGGCTTATCGACTTAATATTGTGGGATAGATTCTTAAGGATGGGAGTAATGGCTCCTTCATTCAGGACATTTTTATCAAACACTTCTTGTGTGCCATTTTTATTCTATTTTTGATAATGCTTTACCATTTCCTTCCAAATGAACTACATAACCAGTTGAGTCAGTTCTTAATTGTCCAGCCCAACAGATCCATGTCATGGTGAAGATTTAGAAGTAATGTAAATAAAACATGACAAAGAAGGCAAGTCTGAGGAAATGGTATTGTGTAGCTAAATGAAATATACATGCCTCTAGAATTGCCTGCTGCTTGGATTATTTGCACAACTGGACTTTTCTTTTCATGTGATAACTGAGAGATGAAGTTTCAGCTCCATTAGGAGTTTACAACATTGTGCAGAGTTAAACATCTTAACTCAAATAACCTAGACTTACTTTAATCACTTAGAAAAGTTTAAGTTGAAAGTTGGTACCAGTTGGTGTCACTAATATGTGGAAAATAATGTAACTATCTTAAGAGTTTTAAAACAGGCTTAAAATATAATCCTTGAAAACTGACAAATTAAGGCCCCAAGGTAGGGATGAGGTGGAGGAAGGGTAAGGACAAAAGGGAAGGAAGTACAGTGGACTAAGGTGGTTGGTAGAATGTGGGTGATTATATGATGATGGGTACACTGTGGTGATAACCTACCTGATGGGAGTATTCAAATATTACCTCAGTTAACAATCCATGAATTAATTTAATAATTGAAATTTAGTTGACACAAAACCCAACCATAGCTTTATTAATATATCCAAACTTTATTTTGTGATCATTTACCGGATGCTTCATGTGTACCATGAAAACAGAGGTGAACGTGACATCTCATATTTTTGGTTAGTATGGAGAGACAAATAAATACTAAATGAATATTGGTGCAACATGTTGAGAGCACTATAAGAAAATTGCGCTAAGATTACAGAGAGTTAGAAGTTCCTGTGTCTGTTTTTTACTATATAGAATTTTTACTATATAGGAGCCTTCTTCCCCACCCCCACACTCAATTTATGGGTTGGGAGAGGAAAAAATTTGTTACAGTTCACACTAAAGTGGCTTAGTTGGGATAAAAATCAGCTCAGGGTTTTTTTTTTTAAAGATTTATTTATTTGTGCATACAGAACTGGGTACAGGCCAGAGGCTCAGGGGCGGTGAGAGGCTTCACCAGAGACAGAGAGGGGAACGGAACAGGCAGATCCACGAAGTACACTGCTGAGGGGAGCAGCAGGTGGGTCAGGAGAGGTCTGCCACACCATGTGGTCACCTCCGGGGCAGGCGGGAATCGAACTCATGCGGAATCGGCTTTAGATTCTCAGTGCTGTGCTTTAACCCACTGCGCCACCAGGGAGGGCCTCAGGTTTTTTAATACATGTGTAGTTAGTTTAGTGAAGATTTAAAAGCAAGTAATATAAAACTTTTGCCCCTGTGATTGCAGTGTTACTGCTGGTTGAAGAGAGGTTCATAAATTCATGGTTATCTGAAAATTCACCAGTTTCTTTGTAAATATAAAGTCTATTAATCTTTGGAAGAGGCAGAAATAGAATAAAACTGTGCATACTTTCACTAGCTGTAATAAAAACATTTTTTCCCCCTAGTCATCCTAGCTAAAATTGAACAAAAGAAGTAGTTTCCTTACTATCTATTCCAGAGCACGATGGTGGAGCCTGACAGTCTGGATTCAAGTTGGAACTTCTGATTACCAACAGTAACCGTGGACCTCAATAACACCTGTGCTTGTGTTTTCTGACAGTGAAATGGGAAGAATAATAGTCCTAGGACTGCGGAGTGCAGTAGCTTTGTTCATTTTAGTCACCCTCAGAGGTTCAGCACTGCTGCTTCCTCCTTAAAGGCACTGCTCTTTTCTCTCAGCTTGCAACACCCTTCTTGGCTTTAGCTCTTTTCTTTTCCTACCTTTTATGCCATTTCATTTGCTTTCTTCACTTTTTTCTTCCTGATTTATAAGGGCTGGATGTTTGAGGGTCCTTTTCCATCTTTACTTTTTTCTTAGATAATCCAGTAGTTCCATAGCTTTAAGTCTTATCCATATTGCGATGAGTGGGTAAGTCACTATTCTGACCAGTTCTGCTCTGAGGTTTCATTCATATGTCAGATCACCTCCTAGATTTTGTCTCTTTAACATATGCCTATCTGACTCTCTGGATTGCTCTTCAAAATAACAAAACAGAGGCAACTTTTCCGCTCCCAATTCATCTCCATTTCAACTTACCTTAAATCCATGGCTTGCTTTAGATTCATTTCTTTCCTTCACCCCACATATGCAAGTCAGCAGCAAGTACTTACCTTCAGAATGTATTTTTGATCTATTTATTTCTGTCTTCTCTGTCACCATCCTCAGTGCAAACTATTATCAAGTCTTGCCAACATGTTCTCTTTCTGTTTGTTTTATATTAGAGTGATGTTTTTTAATGCAAAAGTCACATCACTCCCTATTTAAAATCCACTAGTGGCTTCCCTTCACAATTAAAATAGAAACTGAGTCTCCTTTTCATAACTTACACATCTGGGCTCAGCTGAGAAATTTGGACAATTATTATAAACTATAATATAGAGCACAAGCTTTTTCAATCTAATTTTTAATAATTGCCTCTCTCCCTTCCTGCGTGCCTAGAACAGTGTGTACACATAATGGGCACTTAATATTTGACAAATGACTAAACATCTTCAGACTTTAATGGCCCCTCACAGGCTTTCTTCTTCTCTCTTTCAGAGCACCGTAATGTAATTTAGTATTTTCTGCATTATATAGAAAGTCCAGCAAAGACTTCTGGAAAAAACTCTCTTTTCTTTTACCTACTGGCTTCCTACTTGTAATCTGCTTTCTCCCAACCTTGGTTTTATTCCTCAGATCTGAGGCTATGTTTAAATTACTAGGAGAGGATAGGTGAGTAAGTAGGACAAGAAATAATTAAGCTTAACAGGAGCCTTGAGAATAGTAGTAATAGCATTTTACTGTAGAAATCTTGGAATATATATACAGAAGTAGTAGGTATTATAATGAATCCTCATATCATCATTACCCACTTTCAACAGTTGTCAACTCATGGCCATTCTTTGAAAAATTAATATTTAATTTAGAAACTACCCCTGCTAGAGGGTCACCTAGTCTGTAGGCCTTTATCATAGTTATAGCATGCTCTCCGCATCATTACTATTTTGTAAATAAGCCGAGAAAAGGTTAGGGTGTTTTTAAGGATGTGTTAGGTTCTGAAATATCCTTTCTGGTTCACCTTTTGTGATAGCTGAAATGTTATTATTAATTCAACCATAAATTTGCAAACTGACTAAATCTGAGAAGGGAACTTTATGAAGTGATGAACAGTTGTTATATTTTAATGTAAATTGATTAATTAGAAACATGATTGACTGATAAGTAAACCTAGAGCAATCTTTGAGGGAAGGTATAAAGTCATAGGGACCCAGTGGGAATGGTCCTATGATATAAATACAAGAAAACTGTTCAAGTATCTGGAAGATGCCATTCTGCTACTTACCAATGCTGCCTGGGGTGGTGCTGGCCTTCGTGCCTATAACAAGTGATTCCATTCCACTTTAGTGTGCTCCTGTCATCTGTCATCTGGGTTGCCTTCAGCTGGCTGCAAAGACCTTGTGTGAAACTGCTCAGGAGATGCTTCCAGCTAACTCTGCTGCTTGTTTATTTTTAGGTATCTTGCAATATATTCAGAACTCTCCCTCCTAGTGACAGCAATGAATTTGATCCAGAAGAAGATGAACCTACCCTTGAGGCATCATGGCCACACTTACAGGTACTCTGAACAATCATTTATTGTAAAGGAAAGATCCATTAACTCACTAGCTGATTAGCATGGGAATTCCTTGAAGTTTTTTTTCACCAAGAAATCAATTTAGAGTAAGTTAATAGGAAGCTAAAGAGTGCTTTTTATGTTTCTTACTCTTGATAATTAGGATGCCAAAAGAATAAATTAATAAGTTTCACTGTAACGGTTTAGTGTGGGCCCACCCATGTTGCAGGTCCAGCTGGCAGTTCTTTTATTAGAGCTTCTATATGATCCTGTCTGCTGGAGCCTCGAACAAAAACAGGACTGTTTTCACATTAAGATGAGTTAAATGTGATTAGGTCACAGAGTACATATTTTATTTTCAGCAGTATGTAGCTGGGGGACTATGTATGCCTGTCTTTATAATAAGTGCAGATGTGTTTCTTTAGCGTAGAAGGGCAAGGACAAACTGCAGTAGCTATTTCACTGTGTTGTAAGGAGGAGCAACAGCTGAAAGCACGCGGGTATGAAGGCTAGTTTTTTCACTCGCACTGAGGAGCCCGTGTTTTGCAGCTATATTCACGTGCCAGGACAGATCAGCTCTGGCCCCACATCTTCCTAGCGCTAAGCCCGTCTGTGTTGTTTTGACTTACATTCCAGTCATTTCCATTTCTCTTCCCTGGCTGAGTTCTTTCAAGGCCAGTATTTCTCAAAGGATATACAAGGAGTTTTGAATATAATGAAACCCAAATTCCATTGAGGCCACCTTTCCATTGAGTCCAAATGTCCTCAGATGCTAGTCCTCAGAGAGCTGGCAAGGAGGAAATGGTAGAAGAGAAAGAATATAACCTCGTACATCTTCACCCTGAGGCAGAAACCCCTGAGTCCTTGTAGGAGTGTGCTCATAGTTACAAGTTGACTTTCTGGAGCAGTAAACGCAGCAGTAGGCCTAGGTCTATTCTAGGAGTTTACTTTATTCTCCACTTCAGAATTTTTGACATAAATCTGCAACTTTCCCTGTCCTGCTTTGGCAACTCAAGGTTGCTACAGTTACACATACATACACAGACTATTTCCCCTGCTTATGTGGGGAACTCTCAGGGCTCTTCTCAACTCTTACACAGGCATGTTATACATATGTCTTTCTGCTGCTAATGCCAAGATTGAGTAAATAAGATCCTGTAGTTGTAGTTGATTTACTATCTTAGATGTCTGATTTTTTTTTTTCTTGAAGGTGCCAGACATACTATCTGTGACCTGAGAAATTTGTAAAAATACTATTTGTGCTTTCCATGGTATACACCAGATTGTGACTGAAATAATAAAAAAAATTTACTTTTTTGAATGGGTGGACTTCTTATCCTGTTTTATTCTTAGTAGTCGGCACCCACTCATAGGTGTGCAACATTGTCTGAAAGAAATTTTTAAAACCCAAACAAGGCAATCTCTTCAGGAAAGTCCCATATTTCAGTGGTCAGAAGGACAGAGGGACTTTTGACAAAGCTTCAGCTTGTTTTGGCTACATCCCAAAGAAGCAGTATATCACTATTGTCATGTGCAAGAACTTAAGTACTCTTAAGTCATGGTTACCATAAATATAAATTTACCCTGAAGTACAATAAAATTTTACTCGATATTTCACTTAATCCTTCCTGAGGTTAATGACTCTATAAAATACAGGACCAAATTTATTTCTGAAGTTATTAATTAAGTTCTGTCACCAAAAATCTCTGGCTCACCCTGTGTCTTTCTGTAGGAACACTAGCCATTAGTTCATCTGAAACTGTAAAACCAAAGCAACAGTGAGAAATGATGATGAGACCTCTACCCTTTCGAATATAAAGTCATAAACTATTGTGAGAATGGGCTGTTTTCATCTGTGCTGACATCCTTCCTGTTCAAACTGTAATCCTCTTGTCCCTTCTTTTGCTCAGGGGGGAATAGAACTGATGCTGGATCAGGTAAAGGAAACCTACTTTTTAGATTCACAAATCAGCCTTCATTCATAGTAAAGGTCATGTCAGTAGGTATCCTGTTGCCATCAACTACCTGTGACTCTGTGGAAGTGTTTCTGTAGGCTCTGACGTGTGCCAAGAATCTTGTGTTTGCTCTGTATATTCTTACCTGACAGTTTAGTCGCCTTTCCATTCTCATTGATAGTGATGTTAATACATATTCACCAAAAACATTTAAGAAATATCTTTCTGATAGGTCTTCCAAGTCATAGTGTCTTATCAGTAAATTCAAAACTTCTTAATTGATCTATCAATTGATTTTTCTCACCAAAATATAGCACTTTCTTAGATTTTTCCACTTTTTCTTAATTCCTCTGTAAGCAGTGTGCTTCCTTTTACTTCTTACAAGAAAGCCCAGTGTTTATTGCCAAACACCTGACATTAGTAGTGGAGAATAACAAAGGCACATTGAGGTGAGGTTCTTGGGTATTCGGCTAGTCTCATGGCCAAGATAATTAATTATTCCTGTACATGTTTCCTTTAAATTTATGAACCCTCTAAAATTATAACAATTCATGGGTTTGGGGGAGGCTATTTAAAAATGGAAAAAGCATGAAATTGACAATTGTTTTGTTCATCTGTCAAAAGGTACTCTTTTTGTATCTTTTATATCCCGAGTACATAATTAATCCTTAATATTATTTTTTGAAATTGTGTCTATATTTCTAGTGTAGGGTTTTGCAGTACTTTTATTAAGTATTAATTAAGGAATTGTTTAAAATACTTATACTTGACCCTGAAAGCAGGAATCCTAATGTCTTTCCCCCATATTCCTTGGAGAATTCACTTATTGTGACCTTGAAAAGTAATTCATTCTCCCCAGTCCCAAGTTTTTCCCTTTAGAGACACAAGAGAGATTTTTGATTCCGAGATAAAATCTGTCTTTTATGTGTAGAAAATATTTGTACTCGTTAATAAATGTGTCTGAGGTGTTTCCACCAAACTGTTTTAAACCATAACTGCTTTCAAGGGACCAGAGCAGCGAGAACATTTTGCCAATCCCACTAGAAAGTCTTGCCAGGCTACAAGTCAGGCCTGAAAGATGAGAATCTCACCAATTTGTGAAAATCGAAAGAGAGATAGACCCCTCCTTTCTGATTACTTAGAGTAAGGCTAAAATTATATTTGTAATACTAAGAGTTGAAAGATTAATGTATTGAAAAAAAAATTTTTTTTTCCTATGAGGTATTAGGACTTAGGCATTATGACTAGAATATGTTCAGCTTGACAGTGTTCAGATGATTGGGAAGGAAGTTCTTCTGCTTTCATAGAGTTTCAAGCAGAAAAGAAAAACATAGTTTTGTAAAGAAATAAAATCATTGGCACTGATAGTTGTGAAAGCAACATCAAAAAGAAATTGCTGTTGCCTTAGTATAATTCAGGGCAGTTGCACCAAACTGGTCTGGTGATCCTCTTCTTCGGTGCCTCACACTTGTAATATTTTTAAAAAGCCAATTTACTTAAAAATGTTCTTGGCGAAGTGGCATAATTATTAATTTTTATTAAGTCTTACCTTTGAGGATACATTCAAAGAAACTCTTGAGAGGAAATGGGAGAGGTGTATGTCAGGTCCATCTGCTGCGTACTGATGTGTAAAGCTGGTTGTGGGGCAACACAACTCACACTTGTGTGTTTTTAGCTGCACCCTACTTGCCGTTTTTTCCATGAAATGTCATATTTCTGTTTTTCATGAATTATCATTTGACAGCAAACTATGGTTATTATGACTTGGACAATTGGGGATATTTTCTCTAAGATAAATAATGAAAGCAGTTATTGCCACTGATAAAATTTAGAACAAAATTCAAAATTATAATTTTGGAAACCTTGTTTTTGTCTTTTACCTGTCACTTTGAACTTTATTGCTTCCTAGGACTTACAGGCTTTTTTCTTTTTTTTTTTTTAAATAAAATTGGAACTATTAAGGAATGTGATTGTTGTAATGCTATGCAATAAAGTATATCAACATTTGAGAAATCTACACAAAATAGTAAATTACAGCTTTTTTAGTTGCCTGTGTGATGTTAGGGAAGCAGGAAATGACTAAAGATCCATTCAGAGTGCAAAACAGATGATTAGAATTTAGTACAAAAAATTCATTGATATGGTTTCAGATTCTACATTGAAGCTCATCTTTAAAAAATGGCTGTTGTGTTTTGATGTAGTATCAAAGAGTTATGTGAAAAGACTGCAAAAATACTCTCCTTTTTTTCATACTACTACATCTGCATGAGGCTAGATTTTCTTCATATATTTTCAAACAACACAGCACAATAGATTGAATGCAGGAGATAATAATCTTTTAACATGCTCCTATAGAGACTTGCAAAATTTAAAAATAATAACCCCTTCTCAATAGTTTTTTTTGAAAATAGTACAAAAATGTTATTTTACATGAGTTATATTTTATTGTTTAAAATGAACTAATAAATACATATTATAAATTTTTATTTCTAATTATATATATATATGCATGTATATATCATACAAACAAAAGCTTTTTTGGGTTCTTCAATAATTTTGTTCAAAGAAGTGAGACTAAAACACTTGGGACTGTTGTTTTAGGCAACAGTGACAGTGTTGATATGTTACCTGTATTGTTGTATTGAGTTTTAGGCATTATCCCCATTATACAGAAGAGGAAACAGTGTTTTAAGGAAATTAACTTTTCTCTGGTTAGTAATGAACAGAGTTAAATTTCACAACTTATTCTGCTACTGCTCTGTTGTATGTTACACCAGGACCTACTATGCTTTAGCAGATTATCATGCACAAAGCATAAACAATGACTCCTCTAGTGTTTTCTCGTTATTTGGAGTTGACTCTGCAGATATATCATCACCTATTGCGCAGAGGAGTATAAATTGCCATAGACTGCCTGAAAGAAAATTTGGCAAGCAGCATTCATTGAGAATCCTCAGTATATGGATATCTTTTGATCTAACAGTTTCAGTTTTAGAACTAATAATTCAGCAAGTGTACATTTGTGCTTGCTATATGATATATATTGTGGCATAATTTGATAGAGAAGCAATTTAGAAATTGCTTAAATGTCCATGCATAGATTATTTAGAGTAATTAAAACTATTAGAATTATTGATTATAAATTACATATGGACTACTTGTAGCTACTAAGTTATGGCTCAGGTGCAATATTCTTCACATGGTGAAAATATACTTCTAGTATATTTATATGGTGTAGAGGTTTAGAGAAAAGTTGTGGGGGGCTTCTGTATTAAAATAATAACAGTGATCATCTCTGAATGGTGAGATTATAGGGTATATTTTATTTGCTTTGGCTGAATTTTCTAATTAAAAAAAATACTGTAAGCTACAAGAAAGTCTAGCAAAACTAGTTAATTGTTATTAAATCCCAGTTTTCCAAGCCCTGTCAGTTTTAGTGTTTTTTATGGTTTTTGACAGTATTCTCAATGAATTGTAATTTGAATAATATGGTTTTTTGCAGCTTGTATATGAATTTTTCATACGATTTTTGGAAAGCCAAGAATTCCAGCCCAGCATTGCCAAAAAATACATAGATCAGAAATTTGTATTACAGGTAAGCAAATTCATGTGGTTGCATGTATTTGTTATTCAGTTACTAACACTGTATCTCACTTTCCCTTGATGTTTGTTAAAAAAAAAATCTTATGACAGTCACATAATATAATAAGTGTATGTTTGAGTGACTGTGTGTGTGTGTGTGTGTGTGTGTGTGAGAGAGAGAGAGAGAGAGAGAGAGAGAGAATGAGGAGGGGAGGGAGGGAGGCTGGCTTCTACAAGAGAACTTTGGCTACTCTTCTTCTTCCTTCAGTTATTGCCAGACTTTTCCCCCAAGAGAAATATATTTTGATGTGAAATTTTCTAAATGTCTGATTTTCAGATTTCTAGCAAAATTTCTAAAATCTTATTCAGGAGAAGCTAAGCCCATCTGCCTTTTGCATCTAGCCTCCCAGCTGTCAGTATGAAGTCTCTGCTGTAGAATGAATTCTTCGTTTTATTATCTGTCTCGTTTGTCAGTTTTTGAAATCTCCAGTGTGTGTCCATTTGCCCTCAGGGTGACAGCTACAGCTGAACACAGTGGCCAGAGCCTGGCCTGTTCTGTGTAGCTTTAAGTTAGTGTCTCCTCCCCTTTCCCTGCATGTTAGGTTCCTTAAAGGGGACATCTCAGCTCTTCTTGTTCCAGATGACACTGCCAACTTGCGTTAAGCTTGTGCTCTTTCCTGCAATCTAATTTAGTTTTATGTATATTGTTGTATAAAGCCACATTTTTCTTGTTTTTGTTCATTTTGTAGTTTGCTTTTTTTCTTTAAATCTAGGTGTAGGATCTGACACATTTTCCATTCCTCCCCAGTCTTTTGGAGTCTTTCTGGATCTTGATTCTATCATCTACTTACCTCTGTAACTTTCATCTGTCTTTCACCTGTGACTTTTTTGAATATACTAGCTACTGGCCTTTCTAAGGCATTGATTAATACTGTTCAGCTAGCCAGGAGGAAGGCTAGGTGCCTGTGGCGTACCATTAGCAACAGTTTCGCTTTTTAATTTAGCACAGATTCACTAGTCAGCAGTATTTGAAGTATGTTCTTAGATTGTTAGAAATTTACTCGAGTCGAGTGTCTCTACCTTTGTTGTATTGTAAAATTTATACTTTCTGTTTTCAACCCTTGCCTCATTTTTAACAACAATTGCCTTCTTGGCCATCCCTCTGTTGGGTCTGTTGATGACCTCAGCCTTCATACCAGGGCTCATCCTAGTTCCTAACTTAGTCATGAAAGGGATGGGCAGAATCAATAGCACTATTTAATGGTACTTGAACATAATCATATGAGTAACCAGTATATTAACTGAGGGATATGCCCTGAGTGCCTGTTACCTGCCATTTTCCAGAATATCCTGTTGGTTTATGTTGGTAATCTATAAAATTGGCCTTTCGTCTCTTCCCATTGCTGAAGACTTACCTAGAATCCCAGCATCTTCAGGAGAGTGTCATTAGTTCCCTGCCTGCTTCTCCAGAATTCCCTGCTTGGGAACCTGCTGGGAGTGGGTGGGCCTTTTGGAGCTGAAGCATTATTGTTGCTGAGGCTCCACCCTGTTATATCCTTCCCCTGCCTCCACCCACCCTCTACCCTCCATCTAGTTGTTTCATCACTTTCCCCTGCTTGTTTCTCTGTCCCCCAGAGTCCAGTGGCGCCATGTGGTGCTGGTGTGTTTTGTACCTGAGCCTGGCTCAGTTCTCTTGTGACTTGGGAGCCATCATACTTTTCCCTTTTGCAAATTAAGATGACATTTACCTTGTTCCTTTTCTTTGTGCAGATTTCTCACACTCTGGATTCTCACAGATCTCAAAATGAGTTTGCGGAATCTCAGAATAATTTTTTTTACTCAGAAAATCATGGTTTATTGTAGTGGCAAGATTTCAGCTTAGTTTCAGCAATGGCTAACTTTATTCTTTACAGTCTATTCTCACTCCCTATTCAGTAAAGACAAAGCAAGAATTGAGCCACTTTAATATGATGTAGTAGAAGGAAAGAAAGTTCTGAATTTGAATTCTGATTTCCTCATATCTGCTAAGCCTTCTTTGAAGCTGATTTATGCTTACAGAACTAGGGTACAGGCCAGAGGTGCGGTGGGTTAGAGGATTCACCAGAGACAGAGTGGGGAGCAGAACAGGCAGATGTACTGCCTGCTGAGGGGAGCAGCAGGCAGGTCTGCCGTGCCCTGTGGGTCAGCTTCCTGGCAGGGGATCAAACTCATGCTGCAGTGGCTTCAGAGAGCTTCATAATGTGGTGCTTTAACCTGTTGCGCCACCAGGGAGTGTGACTCAAAGGTGTTGGATGAATGTCAGAGCTCCGTCACCAGTTGTGTGTCACCATACTATACCCACCACCAAGGCACCCACAGTTTCTACCATGATCCTTTGGGCCTCCACCATTCTTTGCTCTCTGCCCTCTCCCTCCCTAGGTAGCTCAATTCTACAGTCAGATTTCTAAGGTTTGTTATTGGTTTTGACTGACCCTTTATTTCTTTACATTCCACATATAACTGAAACCATACGTTATTTGTCTAGCACTTTCTGAATTATTTTACCCAGCATTATCCTTTCCATTCCCATCCTTGTTGTCACAAATGGCAGGAGTTCATCTTTTTTTTTTTTTTCAACAGCTAAATAATTTTCCATTAGTTAATATATCACATCTTAATCAACTTATCTGTTATGGGTACTGGGGGTGTTTCCATAACTGGACTTTTGTCAGTAGTTCTGAAGTCATCAGTGAAGTGCCTTTATTCCTTTAAATTAGTTCCTTTTAACATTCTTCAAAGAGGTACCTAGTCATATCAGATAGATGCCTATATTTGACCATGTGATAGCTCTATTTTTAATATTTTGGGAAACTACACTTTTTTATAGGGACTGGATCAGTCTGCAGGTGTGGGAGGGCTCCTTTTTCTCCACATGTACATCAGTGCTTGTTTCTGGTCTCATTGATAATGGCCCATTCTTCTTCTTCTTCTTTTTTTTTTTTTTTAATAAATAATATAATAGTTTGTTTTTACATCAGTTTGTGCATTTTTCCCTCTCAGTTGTAATCCTCGTGGGCTTCCCATCACCACATCACCCGTGTGCCATCACCATAGTCCAGTGCATTTCCCTCCCCTCACTGTTTTTGATTCCATTCTCCCTCTACCCCCATAAAATGTCTCTGGTATATAGCTGTTCATTATTATTATTATTTTCTCAAATATGGCCCATTCTTATAGATGTGACATGCTATTTCCTTGTGGTTTTGATCTGTGTTTCCCTGATGATCAGTGATGATGAACATTTGTTCATATGCCTGGTGTGCAGAGTATTTATTTGGGGAGATCTGAACAGAATGGGCCCAATAGGTGCGTTGTCCCATGGGGTCAAGCTCCTTCAGCATAGAGGCCCAGTCTCCCCGTGCACTGAGGTAATACTGGAGAAACATGACCAGCCTGAAGCCAGAAGTTCCAGTTCTGTCTGCCAAGAGAGTACATTTAAGCCCTAGCTCTTTGACCTACATGCACTATGATTTCCAGCAAGTTTGTACACTTGCTGCCTATGCTTGAGTGTCTTCATTCATGAAATGGGGCTAATAGGATAAGTAAAATAGGTTACACCCTGAATCTGACAGCTGTTAAATCTGCTTATTTCAGTTGGCACTATGGATGCAAAGGTAGGATCCCTGCCTTAAACTGGTACTGAAAATTTGGGCAGATTATTGATTATTCAAGACCTCAGTGTTTTCTTACATACTTGCACATATTTTAATTGATTAAACTCCTCTGAGGAGATCTCATAGTATTCTGTCAGTTTAAAGTTTGACGAGGCATTTATATTCTGACAGTGTAGTGTAGACGTACAAGAATACTGAGTGCATCATAGTTAGTAATTACTAGGAAATTGGAAACAAGTTAAAAGTTCCTCAGTAGTAAGTTGGAACACTGTGATTTTGTTTTGTTTCTTTATCCTGAGTCTCTTACTTTAGAGAACAGGAATGTTTGTATACACCCTAAAAACTTTGGAAGGATATACACCAACTTGTTAATTGTTTTCATAGATGTGATTTTATGTGATGATCTTCATTTTCTAATTTTTATATTTCTTTTTTTCATTAAAGTAATATGTTATGGTCAGTAAAGTAACACAACTATTTCTATTATAAGTACATAATCATTTCTTACCTTGAGTTTTTCATAAGCTTTAGCTGGTTGTATATTCATTAGCTTTCCTAGAACATTCCACTTATTTCTTCCTTTGATCACGTGTGTATGTCCATTTAAAATTGAAGCTTGATGGATAGTTTCCTGTGTTGCCTGTAGAACCTTTTGCAGTAGCTCCCATTTTTCTTCATTATCAGGGAGCAGGATAGGTTAGTGGTTGCATCTGTGCTCTGGCTTGACTTCTTGCTCTGCCACTTTTTAGTTTGTGACCTTGGGCAAATTACATCACTACTCTATGCCTCAGTTTTCTCATCTGGAAAATAGATGCAGTATATTCATACTATTGTAGTAGTTACATTGTAAGATTTGTGGAAATTTAATTAGTGAATACACACAAAAACACGTATGACAGTTCTCGACACATAGTGTTATGCTGCTCCAGTCACTATTTTTATTAAGATCAGTTCTTGTTTTGACATCTGGTTTTTCAAGTAGCCTCTGACCATGATGTCCACCTTGTGTTATTCTCAGGTGTCTTACCTAGTGTGGTGGGATTTTTTGAATTCAACTTTTACCATTCTAAAAAGCAAGAACTGTTTGGACTCTACGGATGTGGCTTTTCTCTGGCCTTTGAGACTTTTTAAAGATGTTAAATGTGGTTTCTCTTGTCTCCAGATTCTCATCTGTTTACTTCACCAACTGATTTCTTCCAGTGCTGGAAGTGAATGTTTACTATGGTCTGGAGCATGAAAACCAGAATAGCACACTCAGATTATCATGGAGGCCACGAAGGGGTACATAACGAAGAGGTCAGGGCATGAACAAAAAGGATAGAGACAGTTACAGTGAGCTTGGTCCTGGCTCCATTTCTGC